ACTTCAGCGATAGTAATATTGACCTTCATGAAGTAATTTCCAGAGTTTCCTCGATAAAATGCGGCAGTATCGAGCGATCTTTGGTTTAAAACCGTCACCCGAATCAATATCAAATACCTATTAATATTGAACAATCAAATTTACTTCGATATACCTACTCAATATTACTTAATACCTATCTAACAATTTAGTAATCATCTTGGAAATATTTGTTCTGGTTAGTCGTAATAAACACTAGCAAACTTTGAACAAAGTTCTACCTTTACTGCATTAAAATTCTTATCAACTTTACACTGATATGCATAATACGTTAATGGTAACATCCGCTTCAACTTATTGTAAATGAAAAACTTAAAAAATTTTTTGCAATGCGTATGCATAAATTATACACAATTATTACGTTCTCTAATTCTTGCTCTAATAATCCCTACACTTTTATGACAAATGCATATTTGATTAGACAACAATGCTCGTGTGTAACTTGTACTTGTTATTAAAATATAGCTTATGTTTCAAGTAATAGCATGTAGATAAGACCGATAAAATGATTACAATCCCACTCACGTGTTCATCTTATGAGTACCAACACCCCACCTCGTGATACTAATTGAACAATTGTCTGTTGAAATCTATAGATTGACTCATTGCAAAATTTGCCAATTTCAATTATCATTCTATTCACATCAATCTTTTCAAAATATTGCGACGCAGAAGAACATGCCATTTTTTGTCTTTTTCATAAATAAAGAAAATCCAGCCAAATTAATTTTTACTATTAAATCGAAATTCAAATTTGAATCACTGAATTACCATGGATATCATAGACGATTAATTACATTGAAAAAAATTCTTATGCGAACTTGACAAGTATTTTTTGAGAATAAAAATGTAATTCGATCTAAAATTCGGAGTAAAACATGATGACATCTATAATATTCCATTATAAAAAGAATTTCGCTGAATAATTTCGTTATCAACCACGAACTATCACGATGCGACCCGACGCAAATGTTTGACCCAGGCGTTCTCAGGTTCGACGATCGACAAACCGTTATCGCGTGCAAGCTGTATTATGCAAATGCAATCTGAAATTGTCATTCCACTTCTATTGTGCACATGTCTAGATGGTGCTATAATAAGGATAGCCGTAACAGCTAATACCACATGAACAGTTTATCATGAAAATAGTGTAAGTACATTTAACCTCGTGTTAAGATAATTGAGATCTCCATTTCAATCGATTTAAAAATAAACGTCTATCGAATTTACCCACATTAATATAAATTAAAATATAAGTAACAAATCAACATAATACGTAGACGATTCTTCTGAAAACCAGCTATTACAGCCAGCTATTATTATATTTCTTTAAAATCATGAACAAACCTATTTAATTTTCATAGTTATCGAATTGCAAATATCATTAGATTTCAATCATTTCAATTTCAATTTCGCTACACTTATGCCACGTTTTAGTTCGAATTTCTTTGTAAACGGGAATCAGAAAAAGAATATCATTGTTTAATCTTAATATTTACTTATTGACCGCTATTTTCTTATTTTTATTTGCTTTAAAGATACCGACATGAGAAAATCCAACCTAGGTCCCTCAACCAGTTGGTAAGAAAGTTAAGGTTATGAATTCCACGAACAATATCGATATTTTATGAAACTTATGAAGTAAAGCATTTACCTAGCACTTCCAAGTACTGCTAACACCTAACACGGTGTATCTTCCCCCTCGGATTTCAAGAAAAGCGGACATTACAAGTCTCATCGATATTGAATTAAATATCCGATAACATCATTTTCAACCCACCGTGGATGTTTCGTCGAAACTGTCACGTGAATCAAGCAACAGAACATGAGTCGCGTTACATTTCAAGTTCAGGCGAATGAGATACACTGCTGACCGGGTTAGATTTCTATCGAGTATCAGCACTATAACTGCACCGTTCGCGGAAGAATGGCGGAAACTTTTCCACGCGACTTTACGAATGTCGAAACAGTACTTTTCCAAGCTAATTTGATTTCTTACAATCTATCCGTATAATAAAGTTGCAGCAACATTTTTATTTATACCTTATTTCTCTTCATGAAATTCTTCAATTTTTCCGTCGATTTAAACGGATGTTCCCAAAAACCTGGTTCATTCCTTTATGCATGATAAATAGATGGAAATAATGGAACTTTAAACATATATAGTTTCTTTCCTTCAAATTCTTAAACCTTTTCGATGAATCAAATAGAGGTTTTCAGAAATTTTGTGCATTTCTTTAATCGTAGACAGAAAAGTAAATGTGAAACGCAGAAAATATCGAAGAAACGATTCAGATGGGTTTGCCAATATGTAAGTTAGCAAACAAAAAAGAACGTCTTTAGTTTGAAAAATAATAGATGAAAGTATATAAGTATACATTGGCAATAAAAAACGACTCTTTTTAGTTGCCTGTATCTTTCATTAAGAAAGGGGTAACTTACATACTCACCGATTTCAAAATCAGTACTTGTCATAGAAGAAACTAATTTTCATGTAGTAATTGTAAAAAATGTTCATCCAATTTTTTGGCCACATGTTTTAGTTGCTTCTGTCACAATACTCATCTGCAACCACTTCCCAGTCGTTTTTAAATGCTTCATGCTATTTAATAACTGGCTTGAGGCATTCTGTTCTTACACGGATACCAAATCTTTATGGATTACACTACAGGTATAATTTTTTGCCTATAAAAATCCAATAAAAATACGTACCTCAAATTCGAATGCACTTTTTTCACGAGGTTGCATGAATAATATACAAGGTGTTCCAAAGAATTGTATACGCAAATCTATTTGCATTAAAATGTAAGCGTGATATAGCACTATTGACAAATAGAGTGTTCTAAAAATACATACTTATACATAATTTGACATGCAGAGTTTTTCTTCTACATAATTTCGGAACACATTGTATTATAGCACATAAACGACCAACGCAAATGACCTGAAACTTGTCCTACAAGAAGAATGCTGTATCATTGTTACCTGAACTTAAAGATTATTCTTCGGTTTAGAAAATTTATATTATTCGATGATTTTTATTTTAAGCGTTTCTATCGAGCTCTTGCAGCTTAAATTTTATTTGTGGAATATTAATGGAATCGATTTATTTAGGATAAATGGATTTTTATAGTAATAAAATAAATACATGTTTTCAGTTTACAACATAATAGAGAATAAAACATATCATGACAAGGTTGAACTCAAACGATAAAAAAAGTACGCAGTTTTGGGCGCGACGAATTTCAACTGAAAATATTCCACAACGTCTGGGTGATACTAGCATGCCAATCACTGATAACTGCAACGGGTCATAATAAGGCTAAAAATATTTTCGGCATCCTTCAAACAAAGTATTATTTTTTAAAATATTATTTCAAAGATGTTCTTTTAATAATAGTTCTATAATAATTCTTTTGATACCTGTGTTGTTTCGACATATAATAATGCGTCAAAATTAAACTACTAAAATCGAAGAGTAGTATTTTTATACTATCACATGTGGTAACACTAGGTTTTGCGGACCGCATCAATCTGACGCATATTGAATTTAATAAATATTATTTATAATGTTATTATTGAATATTATTGGTAAATGTTTTCTTCGATTTCAACTGACGTAATTACAAGAGTATATATCCTAATTTTCTATCTTTAAACCTCCGATTTCCAAGATATGAATAAACGAACATCTATTTTTCTGGGAACAATAGAACAACCTGTACAATCAACTTCCGTGAATCTTGTGTTAAGTAACATTTGGATTAATATATCTAAGCTATCAAAAGTCATGTCAGCTAAACGTCTCGTCCATTATGTACTTAATGTCTACCCCTTTTTTGTAACTTAAACCGCGTCGCATAAAATATCGACAGAGTAGAATGGAATGTAATTAACGATCGAATAATTTAACGCAATATACGCGGAATAAAATGAAAACATAAATTCAAATGATTCCGGAAGTGCTCAAGAGTGTATATACTTATTTAATTTTCCTGCGAGTCGAATACAACGGAAATACAATCAGAATTCTAAAACAGCCTCAGAACGTGTATTTTCTCGGAAGTTTATACCGTTAAAATAAGAACACCGAGTACAATACTAATTTCAAGACAAATTGGACATTTTCAATATATTCTTAACCAATTGTCGCGATCGTTGGTCACGAGTTGGTTCTCGAGTATGCCCAAGAAATTCGCGAGCGCGTCGTGATAATTGTTTTCCACGTTCCTAAAATCCACAGTTACGATGAAGAAAGAAACATCACAAAAGTGAAAGAACTTCGACTTCTCAAGTACGAGCAGTGATTCAGACCAAAGAAATTTAGCGATATTTTGAAGTCTAAATAAAATTTGTACTAGAAAATGCTAATCCTTTACACTTCGAACATTTTTTTGAAAAATCAATTCCAGCGACTATTGACTACCTTTTAAAATTTAATCAAATATTGTTTATTGATGCATACGGTATATCAATAACATTGAATTCACATAGTTGCCGACATTTTCTGCTGTTTGATTTCTAAATCAAAAATATTATTTCTCAATGAAACAAGAACCAATTATTGCCACTAATAATTTTAAATTTCAATGCTACCAAGTTGTTTATCTTGAAAGTTATTGAGCCGTTTATTTTGAAGGTGACTTCAATCCAATTTTCAAAAAAAATCAAATTAGTGCTTATGATACCTACAATTCTACATTATATTATTATTTTTAAACGTTTCTTTTTAAGAACTTAAGCCACTTTTAAAATAAACAGCTCAGTTAACTAGAACAAAATTGAATCTATCCCGATTCCCCTTAACAGTGTGAACAGTCCTTTTTATTATCTCAATGAATCATCGAGCAATCATATATCTGACGCTCGAAATGTGTATCGCAATGAAATTATATATTTTAATTTTATAGTAAACAATGTAATGAGTTTGCAATTTTGAAAAAATTCAAACTTTGAACAACCTGGTACTGTGGATCAAGCTTAAAGGTCTTCTTTTCGAATGTTCAGGCATCACACGTGGCTGTTGAGATCCATTATGCGCGAAGATAGTTAGAATGAAAGTCATCGTGCCTGTCGAAAACGTTAATGAAATGAATGCCAGTTATTTTTACTTATAACGGAATATGAAGCAGAGAATTTCTTCTATTTTTTACCTGCATTAATGAGCTACGAATTCGTTGAATAAATCTCAGGTCACCAAAATAACATGGCGTACGCATGTATACTTTCTTTTAAAATTTTCCCTTATCGCGTTGATTCATATAGTTACTGAGAAATATAAATAGTAATTTTACTTAACCCTACCATGTTGTCTCATCGAATTTTCTTCTTGTTTCATCATATTTATTTACTGTAGTTGCAACAGTCGTGTAAAAGTAAAAAAATATTTCGAAAGCAAGAGATAAATATTGGCTTAATATAGAATAAAATCTCAATAACTTTAAATAATAGCAGGAAAATTATAAAATAACAAAAAGTAATAATAAACGAATGAGAATCTTATTGTATCATTAGGGAAGAAGGAACAGAAATGTCAATCATTTTCTACTAACTTTCTAATAATGATTTCGTTACAGTGTTTTCTTCGCGATCAAGCAATGTTTTCTTCACTATTACCGCTTAATCCTCTCGTCGCATCTACTGATAAATTTCAAATGTAACCAATCCTACAAGAAACTTCGAATGACCCTTAAAAAACATTACACGTGTTTTTTTTATCAATTTTATAGTAATTTCAAATATTTCGCAATACCAAAAACTACATACATGAAGTGAACGCAACGTTATAGCATCAAAAGTTAAGTGGGCGCTTAACCGAGTGTCAGATTCAACCCCCCACTCCTCTAGCGAACTAACCAAAAATTTCGAAACCACTTACCGAACGAAATTCCCTCGGCGAGAGAGCAAGTTTATTCCATTTGGATCGCGTAGACTCGAATCAATTCGCACTGCCGTGAATTCCCGGGTTACGATGATTCTCTTTTTCTTGTTTTAGAAGGAACGCGCAGGTTTTGTTTTGGGTATCGCGAAACTGTCAAACGGCACTGTTGCGCACAGACTTCCCCGAAACGCGGTGCATCGCCAGCATATTTTCTGTGACGGGACCCGTGTAAACGGCACGGTCGTCGGGGTACACGTTGACGGGGCAACGAAAGGGAAGCTCGTCGGCGTGAAACTCGTCGAAACTTGAACGCTGCCTATATACGATAAATATAAACTGCAGCGTTGGAACCATCACATCGCACAGCCAGCGTTTCTCCGCAACTGGCCGAACAGAAGCGAATTGCAAAAGAACCACGAACCGAACCGTGCTCGCCTCGCTCGCGGCCGAACTCTCCCGATCCGCCGTCACTCGGCGCGCTGTGATTGGCCCGTTATTCCTCTAACCGACTGGACGAAATCCTGTCTCTCTTTTTACTCCCTCTCCCTCTGTAAACCCCCTTCCCTCTCCACGATTCACGGAACCATGAGGTAAAAATCACCGCACCTCTCGCGGCGTTCGATTTCGACAATTTCTAACTGCCGGCAATGCACGGGGAATCCCCTGATAATTCCTTTTTTTGTTCTTTTCTTTTTCTTCTTCTTTCATTCGCGTTTTGTGTCGTATAAATAGTACACGCTGTCCGTATCGACGCCGATACTTGGGAAGCTGTGCACCGCGCTGTAAATATTTCTCGGAGAGCGGCAGGTTGCTTCGTTCCAATTCAATTCGTTCCATTTAAACGGACCGGCGCGATTGTGTCATTGTTTGTAGTACCTTTCTAGGATTACACAGCTTAGTGCTCGATGTTTGGGTATGCCTTTTTTTTTTAATTTGAGGTTATGCTTTTTAACGCTAGGTTTATGAAACGCGTCTATTTAAATATGTATAGATATATTCAATTTTATAGACATTATTAAGTGAATGTTTACGTCGATTTTGATCGATGCAATGACACGAATATATATTCTAATTGTCTCCTTTTAAACCTCTAACTTCTAAGATCCAAATGAACGAACATCAACTTTTCTAGGAACAATAGAATAAATTATACAGTAAATGTTTGTAAACCTAGCGTTAACGAGGGCATTCGAGATCATAAACATATGATTCATGCCTATTGGAATGCACGTTCATAGTATTCCGAACGTGGGATAAAAATAGCAGAAATAACGTGATTACTCTATCCTTTCTCTTAATCGTAGCAAAATTTCAAGTGCTTTCACCTGTATGAGGAAAAGAATTTATTTAAGGATCTAATATAATGAGAAACATGCATTCAGTTCAATGTATGTTGTTAACCCTTTGTGAACGAGACTTTTTAAAGCAATGAAACTCTTATCCGTGGGAAATTAGATAAATGTCGAACTCTTAAATGCATGCATTCTTACTTGCACGATTGAATTCTTGCATTGCAATTTACGTTTCTAGATGTGTAAACCTGACGTAAATAATACGACAATTTTCGTTTTTAAAAAGTTAATAAATACGAAATATAATAAATACGAAATACCTAACAATGGGAATAAAAAAATGGCATTATATATACATTCACGATTATTATGATTGGGAAACAAGAAATTCAAAATGAGAAAGTGCGCTTATCGAAACGAAAAAATGTTTTCTTTTTACTTAAAATTAATGTTAATTAATTTCTTGGACAAAATGTCCAAAATGTATATGAAACCGAAATATGATGTAGTTTGTTTCAAATTGGAAACTAGAAATTAAAATCATTTCAAACTGTCCAAATTTTTCATTACAATTATAAAAAATTGCCTTATTTGAAAGTTTAGGAGACATTTAATTACACAAGTTTTGGAATGGCCCGTGCATTTGAAAAATGGACAATCTACATTCAAATGACATGATACGTTGTGAAATTGGAAATTTTATGCACAGCCTTGACTGTCAATATGAAATATGTTAGTAGCATTATTTTTAGACGTTTGAATAATACAATAGATAGTGTTCTGAGGTCCGTTAATTTTCCCAAATGCGTAACCATCCTACATAAATTTTACTTCGAATAACGAATCAATAATAATAAGTACATCACAAAAATTTGTTAAATAACAAACAATGATAAATGATTCACTGATCGCAAATTTATAAATGTATTTCAACTAGATTTATTTAATTAACGCTTTATTCGTCATTTGAGAGAACTCTGGGACGAATAAATGTGACGAATCAGTGGCGTTGTCAGACGGCAAGCAACTTACATCACAGATGAGAGTTTGAGGGACACCACCTGATGAGGGGAATACATATCGCAATTGCAGTAGACCATTGATGACAGAAATCATGCCTGGCAACTAGTTTTATCAATTGACTAAATTATTATTCTTTCGAATAAAAAATTGTTCATAACCATTTATATATTTATAATTATTATTCGATAATTATTCGGAAAAAAATGTTGTTCAAACGGATATGATCAATTTAGCACGTAAAAAATGTGTTATCTCAATGTTACCTCTCTCTAGCTATTTTTATCTAGTTGATAATCGTATTAATGTTTGCACAACTTGATGGTACTTGTCCTTCAACCAGTACTCTATTCAGGCTTTAGGGTTAACAGTAACGTTTCCATTTTGTTCGGTAAACGTTTATAACATTCGTTGATAATGTTATATTTAAGAATTCATAAATGCATCAATAAAAATTAAATTTCCTATCCCTTGATGTTGTCATTAATTTCCAAATCATGACACTTTTGTCTTCATGTTTTACATTTAGTACCATGTGTTGCAATTTTAATGATGTACATTCTCTCCACTCTTTCCCTTTTCCATTCGGTCCCTCCCTTTAATTTTCCAAAATTTTAAATCTTTGTTTTCATAATTTTTTGCAAATTCAATCTCTTTGGTACAATTGATATTGTTAAATGAGAGCTGTATTTCACGGTGCATGATTATTTTCTGCTTGGAAGATTATATGTGAAATATTTATTTTAATATTCAAAATATACAAAACCAAAAGATTAATAAAAGAATCCACAATATAAAATAGGGGTATCTCTACTATAATTTAAGATATTTCTTTGATATGACAAGTATTTTCTCAGTGTACGTTCACTTTTGTATGATGTGTAATTCACTTCTTATCTATTAAAATATTTCAGTATAATAATACATTTAGTTACAACATGGTTAATATTATCTAATATATTAATAAAAAAATAATTACTGTAGAAGACTATTATTTATTTTAATCAAACGAGCTTTCCCTATTTTATTTTCTACATCTTGTTTTGTTCCATTACAATATTATAAATTCTGTTTTATATTTTCAATGCATCATACCCACTTGTGGATCAAATTACATTATTACATGGACTTCAGATAAGACAAGGTTATAGGTGATAATGTCCGAAAAAGCTACTCAAAGTTTATGTGCCCTGTTTCAGTTTATGTACGTATACATATTTTCTCTTAGAAGATCCAAAAACCCAAGTCAAAGGCTTAAATTAATAAAAAGTGATTTTATTATTTATTAAATATTTTCAATTGAAATTTTACCTTTTATTTTTGTATTATTACTCTTCTAAGTTTTCAAAACTATCAGGATGCACACATTGAAAACCATGTATTCAAGTTTTGCCTATAGTTCATACATTTCCATTTGATCCATAACTGATTAAGAAATATTAGAAATTTAAAGCAAAGTTTATAATTTTTACACAAAATTGACCTGGTAACATAAATGTCCAATACTTTTTTTTATTGTTTATTAATTTTTGGATGTACTTTTCCAAATAAATTATCCTAAATATATTTTGTACTTTAAATATAACAAATTCAGAATATTTGTCACTTAAGGTGTTAAAGCTCATATGTCTCATAATTCTTATTTTGCTAAATTACTACAGAAGAACCTATATTTTCATAATAATTTAACTCATTCATCTGCAATAATTCATGTTCAAAATAATATAGAATAAGGGAAAGAAGTATTTCTTTTGAGGTTACTTTCACAATAACATCTTATTTTTCATAAACGATTAGATGTATTAGGTGTAATTACTTAACAAAAAATATCTATCATCAGAGTAATGTTTTAATTTGTGATATTCAATGTACTCATCCACTTATAAATTGTTTATTTAAAAATTGTATTGCAGTTCTTGGTAAGGACGAATTTTGTCACAACACAATGGCGGTATGTTTTGTCACGTGATAGAACTTTCATTGATCCACCTTGTACCGGATTAAATAAACCAACTTGTAATTAGTTTGAACAAAAAAATACCATTAGTCTTCCGAACAAATTATTATAGTAAGTTTGTAAATATCTGTTCAAATGATAAACATTTTATTAAATTTTCTTCTTCTTTGAATATTAACACAATTATTTAAAATGTATTAATGCCTGACTTTTTCACCAAATACTGTAACATTGTATGAATATTCGTATGTATATACATAATTCTTGCAAAAGTCAAGTGGCATTGCTGTGTGGAGTGGGTAGGCATCATTAGCGTGGAACAATCATGCAGCGCCAAATACACGAAGTG